TATATATATATATATATATATATATATATATATATAAAATTTAACGACGATTAATAGTCATATACAAAGTTCAAAAAAATTTTGGTTTAATTTTTGCTAATTTAAAATATAAATACAAAATATCTACTTATAATTAAATTCCTTTTAATAAATACAACATTTGAAATAAGGTAATGATAATTCATTGTTAATGAAAAGAGGTGTAAAAAGATAAACCGTACCTTCAATAATAAAACATATAATTTTATTAGTATTTATAGAAATGTGATAACCACGATAACAGTAATAGTAAATATTAAATAGTGGCAGTCGTAAGAAAAGTAGCAAATAAAGGTATTTTGATATTTTATTAATTCAGAAGCTTGAGAAAAAATAAATGAAAAGAAATAAGAGTCAAAATTAAATGTCAATAACCTCATTGCTTAGATGAATCACTTGAGTCCCGATACATATTGGCGCCATAGAACTAGACTAGTGAGCTTGTGTTGTTTGCCCAATAAATTATTGGAATTGGAAGTATCACTGGAGACTCTCAATTATTAATAGATTTTAATTTTATTCCTTGCGACCCATTATCACGTACATTCATCTTGAAGTGGGACCTACCGATCGTATATATTACAAGAAGCCTATTCAAATGACACTTAAAAGTTTGTTGATTTTAGATAGCATGATGATCACACAAAATGTACTATATATTCTTAAAAGCGAGATGATGTTCCTTAAGGTGCGACCTCTTTCATCGAATTTGAGACTTGCACCAAATGTTGGTGACTCGCTAGGGGCAAGCTTTGAATTAGAAGCTAGCGGAAACTAACTTGTTCAAATTTTACCCTGTTGTTTACTTGCTTGCAGTGAAGACTACTACTTGTATCTATGACTCTATGTTCATGCTTAATTCAGAAGCATGCTGATGGACTATTAGCTTGGTGGACCTGATTTTATTCTTTAATTCGACTTCTGTTATTTTTTTCTTATTAAGTGGAATGTTCATTATGGTTTTCTAAGTCCACCGTTAAATTTCATGGCGATGGAAACTACCAAGCTGAACTGCTGTTGGAGCAGAGGGAAGCCACAATAATCTCATCGAAACTAGTCATGAGTAGGTTTGATGAATAATGATACAAAACCTTGGGAGTTGGAAAGTCTTTTGTCATGGGTCCTAAAAATAAAAGAGACATATTTTTTGAGTAAGAAACAGGTCTAAATAAGGTGTTCAGAAAGTAGTTTCTTAAAGTTGGAAGTTGGTGTAACAATTAAAAACATATTGAGCAAAAAGAATTGAGTGGATAAACTATTCAAAAAAGTGAAAAAAGCTTACTGTGTGAGCATAATGGTCAATAAAGTAGAATGAAAATCATGGAATATCAAGGTATAAATCCCAACATTGGTAAATAAAAAGTTAGCTAAACCTTGATAGACAGAGCTATTCGATATCTGTACTAGTGCAAAGTAGCAGATACATTCAACTGCTTTTTATTCGATTATACGGTTGGTTAGGTATCAGGAATATTACATAGTAGTGTTGGCTTCAGAGTACACTCTATTACCTTGCTGATTTTATGTGCCACTCCTGGTGCTTTGATGGGTGAATGCTTTCAGAATTGACAACTATTTCAACCCAATAAACATGAAAGCCGAAGCAATAGAGAAAATGCAACTTGAAGGAGAGGAGAATACAATGCCCCTCGATCAAACAAAAGCCGTTCGATTCTACATAAAAACGCGTAATCTAAGAATAGGATAATTTTCCTGTAGAAACAAACTTTTCTTGAGAAAAATATGTGACATGGTTTTGGTGATCCGCACGTAAAAAGGAGAAGAAAATCTGTCTGGTTGTCCCTTTCAGATCATCTAATAAATTTGTGATGAAGGATCTTTCTTGCTATCATATCAAAGTCTCAAACTCATGAGGAAATAACTCAATTCTCATTATGTAAAGATCAACTATTAACAGTCTAAAGTGAAGGATACTTGAAATAACTACACAATTCTTCCAAATTAAGGACTTTTTATGTTTCAACTCTCTTATGTTCACAACACACTACTCTCAAATATACATGATATATGAGACATAAATGTTGACAACCACTTAATTGAAGACTTTGTAAAAATGAGAACTTAGTCAGTGCATGCCAATGAGTGGGACCCTATAATTATACTATAATCTTTATAGGAGGAGAGATCTAAAGGTCAAAAATGTGTCTGGCTGTGATTGTGAAGAGTAAAAACCAATAACTAAAGCACAAATTGCACCAAAGACCTACTACTCTAAGATAACTTAAACTAATCAACCTCATGTCATCACAAGCCATATAGGAATATAAAAAAAAATACTTTTCTTCTGTTTTACAATTTCTTTTATCTTATTCGTTTAAAAAGTATTTTTTTTCTCTTTCAATTTCAATTTTCTACGAGAATATATTCACACAAAAATATATTCAAAATTGTAAAATTTTATTTATATTTTTAAAATTCTATATTAAATCAAAATAAGATAAATAAATTAAACTAACCGAATAGATGTTCTTACTTATCACAAATCAATATAGACAGAAGGTTGATGAAAAGGTTCAAACAAACTCCTTTGTTTTTTTCTTCTCTTTTTTTGTTTTCTTACAATTACTTCTATTCCTTTTAATTTCTTATACTAAATCTTTTTTTTTAAAAAAAAAACTTAAAAATATCCTAATCTTGATCCTTACTTTAAGAGTAACTCTTAGCAAAAACAATATAAACACTTTAAATGGGTGTTATCAAGAATAACCTATAGTCAACAAGGACATTAGCAGTAATAATCTTCATACATTAAGCAATAAAGTTTATTTACTCAAAGATTAAAAATAGTAAACAAAAATTAATTTCTATTTCCAATAAATAAAGAGGGATTACAACTTTTCAAGAAGATTTAACACCAAAGAAAGACTCAAAAAAAAAAAAAAAGGAGAAACCAAAACATCTTGTATTATTACTTCATTTACAAAAAAAACAAGAACCCCATTTTCCGTTCACATTTCACCTTCCTTTTTCCTAAATGTCCATAAAATTTCTTTAAATTACAGTGCCCATTTTTCTTCTTCATTGGATTGTACAAATTCTCAGCTGAAAACAAAAATCCCATCTTTAATCCCTTTTCTACCTGTGCATAACTGCCTTCTTTCAGTGGGTTTTCTGGGACTTTTTGTTATACAGACTGTTCTTGGGTTTTTTGTGTTTCCATTGTAGAAAAGCTTTGATACCCAGTAACATATATATATATATAAATACCAAATATAAGATATTGAAAAGAAAATTTTATAGATATTTCATTTTATTACTACTGTGAAATTTTCTAAAGGAAACAAAAAAAGATTTGAAATTTAATATTTTTCTGGAATTAAGGGGCAAAAAGAAATTGAACAGATGGGAAAGCAAGGACCTTGCTATCATTGTGGTGTTACAAGTGAGTTTTTGGTTATTCAATGTATTTTATCCTTCTCATAAATTTATTAATCTTAAGGAAAAAAAGAGTCTTTTTAGCTTATAAAATTGTTCCTTTTATTGGATTAGTTTAGTTTTGTTCAATTATTGAATTGGATGACTATATGTTGGTTGCTTCATAAGGGAAGAGATCACTGACCAATAAAAATTGATGAGTGATATGTGTTGTATGAGTTTATTTTGCTTGTACATTCATTTAATCGCAATGAGGTAGGGGTAAGGTCTGCACGTTCTACCCTTTCTAGACCCGCTTGTGGAATTTCACTGGGTATGTTGTTGTATTCACTTAAATCTCTAGATTAATTTATTGAATTTGTGTTGAAATTTGATTTTGAATTGTTTCTGTTTATTGCCAACATTCTATATCCGTCATCACTATGTTGTGTACTAGCCAATCCGTCAACTCCTTTATGGAGAATATATTTGCTCAAAAACTTGCTAAAAATCTAAAGTAGAACTGGGAATTATGGAGGTGAATATGAATCCATTAATCATGAACACAGCATAACTTTCGTTTCGTTTTCATAGGTTAATGTAATTTGGGGATGTTTCCAAACTTTCAACCTGTACTTCTTTTCTTTGTTCCCTTTGTAAATGTGAAAAATGTACTTCCTCAGGTGTCACTTTTCGTGCCAATGAAATTCTTGCTCTTAAACATTATAGTTTCTCTAATAATGAACACATCATAAAAATGCCTACCGATGACTGGTCTTTTCAAAGTTCATGTTACTGATCTTTATAATTGAAGGGTGATTGTTCAGGCATATATGTGGCTTGATTGTTACTCGTTCATATTTTCATATAAACTTTGGATTCAAGTCTCTGGTGCAGTAAGCGCCAGTAGTACATTCTTCATCAGTGTTCACTGATCAAAGGCTTGTAGTGTTCTCTTGTGTTTCTTTACCTCACAAAATGAGCTCGTTGGTTTCAAGTTGATAGGTTAATCAGTGTTTATCCTCCTTGGACTGTCTTTAACATTGTAATTCTGGCCTCACATTGTCAAATGTTTGCATTAACAAACTTATGATATGTTCTTAACAACCAAAATCAATCAATCAACTACTACTCGATAACTAGTTGTAATTGGCTATGAATTTCTATATTCATTTGCTCTAGTCAGATGCAGCACATCACGAAGATAGTAACTTTGTAAGTGATATCTTCTTGAGATCTTATCTCGTCTTTTGCTGCATAATCTACCGCGCTTGCAACTTTCATAGTTCAGCTTGTCTAAGAAAAGACTTGTTAAGTTTCGCTGTCCCCTCAATTGCTGGTGCTACTTAAAGTAGTAGTTGACATCGGGAAAAACTTTTTTAGCTTGTGCTCAACCTAGGTAACACATGTTTCGGAAGATGAGGTGAAACTGGTGGGTTGCCTATAGCTATGTCGTCGGCTTGGGTTTACAGGAAGTTCTTACTGATGTCACATTGTTTGGTAAATATAATGTCCCAAAGCAAATGTCTTTAGAAGTCCACACAATGCCGTTACTTTTGATGTTCTAGACTTGTTTTGGTTGTTCTTTAAATGTTTGTACCTTTGGTTGTCTTGTTGTACGGTGAAGAAGAATTTCCTTAGTTTACTTCTCTTGACAACAATTATCACTTATGTGCTTTATCCTGTTGTTCTTTCTTTCTAAAAATATGTGGAAGCAGCTGCTAGTATCAAATTTACCTTACTGTTCAAAAGAAACCTTGTATATTTTTCTATTTATTTGGATACTAAGCGACTATTACGGTGCATTGCAGTAGCCAGCTATACCACTCTCTGCTTTTCTCAAAAGGAAACTCCATGCTCCAGTGTTCATTGCCCATGAGATGATAGGCAAATAAACTTCCTTTTCCCTGTTATTGCTTAGATGCGCCCTTTGTTCTCCATCTCCATGATTTGTTTTCTTGCTCCTTGATGTTCTCTCTTTTGCCAGTATAACTTTTGTTTCGTAGCTGGACCAATACAATGCTTATGGATTTTTCTACAGAAACTTTCGGTCTCTCATTTACATCAGAATAGTTGAAGTTTTTGATATGCATTTTAAAGGAGAGGGTTGCTCTTGGGATTGTTAATGAGCTTACCAAAGCAATTCTGAATGAAATTCTCACACAAATCCTTCTTTTCTCTTCCATACTTTTGAAATGCAAGAACCTTTTGCCTCTTGATGTCCCCCCTCCTCCAATTAATGGAAAAAAGACAAACCAAGAAAAAGATTAAAAATAGAAGTGATCAAATTTACATTGCATATTTAAGATTATTATTGCGGGGATGTGCGAATGTTCTTGTACTGTGTGTGAAATTTCTAGTTTCCATTCTCAGATGCCATTCTTTCTTCCCTCTGTATCTACGTAGAATACACTCTTAACATCAACGTATTGCTACAGGCACCCCACTTTGGCGTAATGGGCCTCCAGAAAAGCCAATATTGTGCAATGCATGTGGATCTCGGTGGAGAACAAAAGGAACATTAGCAAATTATACTCCTCTGCATGCAAGACCAGAGTCTGATGATCTAGACGATTATAGGGTGTGTAGGGTCAAAAACATGTCTTTGAAGAACAAAGAGGCAAAGGTGTTGAAACAAAAGCAAAATCATGATAATACTGTAGTTAGAACTCCTCCTGATTATTATCAGGGTTTCCTTAAGAGTTTAGATGAAGATACAAGCAATAGGTCAAGTTCTGGATCCGCCATCTCAAACACTGAGAGCTCTGCACAATTTGGTAGTACTGAAGCAAGTGATTTGACAGGTAAATTAATTTATTAATGCAGGCTCTATTTCCAAAGAGACAACAAACTACAAAATATTGGAAGTTCGGAACAGAGCCAATGAAGTACAAAAGCTTGAAAATATTGGAACTGTATTATTTGATTCGTCAAGATGTAGACATGTTCCTGTATATCTTTTCTTGTTAGCTACTTGAAATACTCTGTAGGCTGTCATTTTTGGTGATGATCATGGTTTCTGTTCTACATCTTTTGATTGAATTACAAATATTGGAACTGAATTATTTGATTCATCAAGATGTAGATATGTTTCTGTATATCTTTTTTCATGAGCTACTTGAAATATTCTGTAGGCTGTCATATTTTGTGATGATCATAGTTTCTTTTCTACATCTTTTGATTGAATGACCAATATTACACTCAGGGTTAGTACCTTCTCTAGTGAAAACTTAGTGGTAAAATCTAGACCTTTCTCTTCTTCTCTCAGTCAAATCATAGAAGGTACTTTGAATAGTATCTTCTTCCCTACCACATTTGTTATACATTCTCTCGCCTTTTCTGTTCTGTTCTTTGTTTATACTTTGTACTTTTCTTGTTCATTCTAACCTTCACTTCGTAGTTGAAGACAACACTCACTGTATTCTTGCAAAATTGGGAAATTCTATGGCTTCATAAAATATTTTCCCCTTAATTGTGCTATCAGGCCCTGCCCAATCCAACAAATGGGAAGCAATGGTGCCTTCAAGGAAGAGAACCTGCATAAGTCGTTCAAAGCATTCTTCAGTTGAAAAGCTCACTAAAGACCTGTGTACGATCCTACATGAACAACAATCTTCATACTTCTCTGGATCTTCTGAAGAGGATTTGCTTTTTGAGAGTGACAAGCCTATGGTCTCTGTTGAGATTGGACATGGAAGTGTGCTTATTCGACATCCAAACTCAATAGGTAGAGAAGAAGAATCAGAAGGCAGTTCCCTGTCGGTTAATAACAAGCGACATTATGTAAATGAGGCTTATTCACGATTGTCTGCCCCACCTGTAAATATTAATAGGGGTGTCAATTTACCAAATCTGGGCACGGAGATAACCAAGAAGCCTAACAGTCAGGGAATGGAACAACACCCGATTAAAAGGTGCTTTCTTCTTAATCTTGATAGCATGCAAAAATGTCTTGAGAAATAGAAGTGCTGCTGAATGTGTTAGACTGGAAGAAAATGGATATGAGGTTTTAAATGCATGAATATCCTGTTTATGTAAGTTGTGATGTGGCTCCACAAAAGAACCAATATGCATCAGGAAGATATATAAATCAGACCAGCACATGCTCTGGAACATGATATTTCATTATAATTACTAATTGTGCAGTAAGCTTGTGGTGGCATCAGATGCCATAATTCAAGCTTTTGTTGGCATTGGTTACCATAATTTCATTATTCCAAGATCTTAGAACCATTGTCTTTTCCTTGATGTGTGCTTTCCATCCTCTGATTTTATTTTTAAATGCAGGGATAAGGATCACCTTGAAAAATTGCACATTCTTGGACATCATACTTCACCACTGTGCCATATAGACCTGAAGGTCAGTTGCTGCTTTTTGATTTCATTACAAATATTTTTTAGTTTCATCTAATATAACCATGGAATAATTCCTACAAGGCACACTTGTCTTTGCATCTGGAATACATTTCGTATTCCAGAATATTTCCTTGTGTTCATGAATTTTGCTCTTGTCTGTAGATATAAAATGGTTTTCTGCTTTTGATTATCATTTGAAAATGTCAAATATATCTTGCATTTTGCAAGGATTAGCTTCCTCTCCAAGTCGGAATATATTTGGGAAATTTTCAACTTGATTGTTGCTCTCTTGTCAATTGTTAATTGTTATCAATACAGGTCCAAGCAATACTCTCTTGCAATGCATCAGAACTTATATAATTATGATAATATGGTTCAGGATGTACTTAATTATGAAGAGTTCGTGACACATTTCTCAAGCGATGAACAGAAGCAACTACTAAAATACTTAGCTCCTGTTGATTCTTTTGCACCCCCAGATAGGTTTGTACAATTTACTTTGTATTTGTATCCTTTTCTGTCGGAAGTCTTTATAACATATACAACACTGAAGTATTAATAACTAAATCAATTTCAGTGGGAGGCAAGAATCAAATTTTCTTCCTCTTCCTGCTCTTCTTCGTCCTCCTTCATCCTCGCCGAGCTCTGATTGTGTTTCTCTTGTTTCACTATCTGCAGTCTCAAAAGCATGTTCCATAGCTCTCATTTTGAGGAGAATTTGTCTTCCTTCCAGAAACTTCTTGCAGAAGGTGTTTTCGATAGCTCATTGCCAGGGGTGAAATTAGAAGACTCTAGGACTTTGAAGAGGTTAATATTGTGCTATTTAACAAAGTCAAAGTGGGTGGAAAAGTATAACCTTTTCAAGGTTAGGTCTTCTGTTTTTTTATGAACATTCTACTTTTTCTGAATAAATAGTGCAATTTTACTGAAGCTAATCTTGTTTGTGTTAGGAACCAAAATGTACAAGTAGTGCCAATGGTAATGAAGTTACAGGAAGGCCCAATGCTATTGGGACAGGTCATTCAGGAAATGTGAAGAGGCCACTGGAGGGGCACCATCCAAAGTATGCAGGTTGGTGCTTCTCTTTTTCGACTTTTTCTTTACAATGTTATGGCATTCAACAAATTCCTCTTAATTGCTTGACTAGTTCTCTTGGAAGTCGTTGAAGTGTGAAGCTATCTATCTAAAAACTTAAATTGTTAGAGAGCACATTTTTGTTTACTTAATTATGTTTTCAACACGCTCCCTCATGTGGAGGTCTAATCTTTTTAATGGACCAAGCAGCTGTGGCTTCTTTCTTTAGTGGGTGACGGTGAGACTCAAACATAATACCAAGTTGAAGTGTATGACCATGTTATATAAAAGTGAAAGTTATTAGAGAGAGCTCAGAGCATACTGTTATTTACTTAATCATGTTTTCAACCACAACAAATATTTACCTGATGATTGTGAGATGAGATAAAATTTACATGTGTGAGTGCTCAAAGCGGAGATGGCACAAAGAAGATAGATATGAGGGCTTAAATAAGTTTGAGCAATTCTCAATAAGGGTTCTAGAATTCATTATTTCTGGTGTTGTTATATTCAAGGAACAGATAAAGGAATAGGGTTACATGGGATAGTAAGTGAGCATCATAGGCAATGAGATGTGGTAGAATATCTTGTATGAGGAAGGTATCCTTGTGTCTAACTGTCCTAGATTGCAATGCATGGGCTGTCTAATCCTCTAACTAGTTATTTTACACATCATATTTTGTGACATAGCTCGTAAGACAAGGTCAGTGTCATGGCCTACTGTCTTGAGGTGGCTTGGTTCAAGCTGGATATTTGTTAGGAGAAATTACATATTGAAATGAAAGATGGACTTGGGGAAAAGAAAAAGTCCATCTCGATAATTGTTTTCTCTTGCCCTTTTTCTTTTAACTATACCTATGAACCTTCCATCCCAGTAAACATCCTGTAGTTAATAGGCAAGCAGCGACATTATGACTGATATCTAGGTAAGAATTGCAACATAATCAGTTGAAAATCATTGCCCTCTCACTTTTTACTATGTTACCTGTTCCAAAAAGGAAAAAGGAGTGGGAATATCGTTTCTCAATAATACATAAATTGTCTAGTCTATCACATATATGACCCGGGGGGTAGGGGTTGGGGTTGGGGTTGGGGATATAGAAGATCTTTTCTCTAAGTAACAAACAATTCCTTAACTGTATGTGCTGTATGCACTTTGACAATAACATCGATTCATATGGAAATAATTTGCTGACCATTTCACTTCAGGTGCAAAGAAAGCAATGAAGAGCCCCAAGAGGGTGGTGATGAAAAGTAGCTATGAGCAGAAGGAACTAGTAGACAACAACAACTCTTGCTTCAGTCCAAAATGCCTATTTCCCTTGCCTTCTAAAAGTTCCCCTGTGCTGGATTCTTTCCATGTTACAAATGACCAAGACGTGCTACTGGATGTGCCATCCAACAGCTCCTTTGCACAGGCAGAACTCCTCCTACCTACATCTAATTTTGCTGCACAAGCAAGCACCGGTAGCAGCTCTGTATATCCACATCTTGTACGTCCCTAGTGGTAGTATGACAGTTAGCATTTTCGTAGGGCATCTAGAAGCTACTTCAGCCAAACCAGATGATTGTGTCTGCATGTTCCTCACCAATCATGTGGTGATTTGCTGAAAGAGTTGGATGTTGTGCTGTTTATGTTTCCCCTTTGAGCTATACTAAACAAAATTTTGGATTTAGCTGATGGATATGGTTCTTTACCTTCTTTTTTTTCTTACTGTAAAGATAGACAAACATTGTATAATATAGCTGGAAATGTGGGGAAGATGGTAATGTCCAGCACTTGTATGCAGTAAAGTTTTTCAACTTAAATTGGGGACAGCCTTTCTATCTGTTGGTTTTGTTGATGACAGTTATTTCTTCCAAAGGCAATTCAAATTTTGTAAAGGAGGGAACTGAGTTCCTTGCTCCTTCCAAATATTCCAGTAATTAGCACGAAGGGTGACTAGGAGGTTTACCCCAAGAGAACCATACAAGGGTTTTACAACATACGCCGTGTAATTACATGTGGGGTGTGGGAAGGATAGAGCTTATGCAAACTTTACCCCTTCCCAAGGAAGTAGAGAACCACACAATGGTTCGTTTCATTTGCAATGGTAGTTTGGGTAGCAGATTTGTAAATTTGTATGTTAAAGGAAAAAAGAAGATTCACCAACAAATACGCAGCAAATTCTCTCAATTTAAAATTTGCTTAGCAGCTTCTGATAATGTGTCTTACATCATTAACTACCAGCAAACGACGGATTCAAAATTTGAGTTTTATGGTATTTCGAGATGTTATTGGATTGTCAAACCATTTAAGTAGGTTCAAAATTAATATTTATACATATTTAGTAAATTTCTTAATACATACTGGGTTTGATTCTATATCTGTTGGTTATACTTTGCATTTGGCCAGTTTCAGAGAATAACTTATATCAGTCAAAACCAAAGTAATAGCCACTAGCTTAGAATATCATATATATATATATATATATATATATATATATTGAACAGGGTTGGCGAGCTAGCAGGGGTTGGCGAGCTAGCGGGTGGTAGCAAGTACCCGATGAAATAGGCGAGGTGTGCAGAGCTGGCACCCTTAATGCACCATTGACAACCTGCAGTGGCTCTGTCCATTCTTCAATCATTGTAGGTTTTCGAAGTGAAATCAATCACAAATAGCTCCGGTGACCACCATCTAGGCCGAGGAAAAAACATACAACGCCTCATAGCAGTCTCAAAAAAATCTACATCCTTGTTTTCAAAAGCCATCATTGTAACTTCTATAATGTCTTTGAACTGCCCCTCCTTCATTTCCTTCCTTCCATTATCTTCCATTCTTTTCTCCTCCCTTTGTCCATAATGGCAATTTGCGGTTTCCCATAATGTTTCCATCGGCACCAACCGTACAACTTTCCTTTATCCCATTTGCATGCTTTTTTTCCCATGAAATACATGGTTCTCACCATCTTCAGTCTCTGTTACTGCAAAATTCACAGTTCTCTTTATTCTGTTATTTAAACTACTTCATTTCGCACAATTTCTTCAACTCCTAAATCTGTGATTTCAGCACCCAAATTATTATCACAAATCCTAATACTTTGTCAATCCTTTCCGATCCGTCACCTCCACGACACCCATTTACTGTACTTTCTCGGGGTTTCGAAAACCCTAGATTGTCATTATCCTTCCCAAAATCAACTCTCACCTGAGCCTCCGTACCATCACCATAATCCACCGTAGTGTATTCAACAACAGAAATATTAGCTGGTAAATCCACGGATGTAGCCGTATTAGGTCTCTGATCATCCGAGTCGGAGATACAGGTTTGAGAATTGTGGTACTCTGGAGGAATTCAGAAATCCTTCATTTTTACGAGTGGAATTTTGGTCAATTGAGTCAACAACTTGAAGTGACAACATGATAATTCCGAATTGTTTTGACGGGACCAGGATGGCAATTGTGCGGTGAAGGATTCAGGAAAGTTCTCGAATTCCACAGTGAACGGACGGTTACGAAGTTCCTCTTCATCGGCACTAGTGACACAGTTCCTGATAATCCCGGTGAACGGGCTGTCAGATTCGTCCATTTTCGGCTATTTCACGGTGTGAGAGAGAGAGTTGTTTTTTAATAACTAACTTTATTTTCGAGGGATTTATTGTAGCATTAAAATATTCTCGTTTTTTCTCCCGCCTACCGCCTGTGACATTAACGGTCACCGGATCTAGATAATCAAGACCACGTCAGATATGATATCTACAACATGCCTCACGGAAATTTAAGAAAAAACTCTTTTTCTTTTGGAATCTGCAATTTTTTATTAAAATATTTGAATCGTAAGTGTCTAATAAAATAATTTATACTCTGTTTAAATAATGAGTTAATACAAATTGTAAATCAAATAAATAAAATTTATTGATAAATTTAATTTATCCCGCATAAATGATTTTTACGTATTTACGATCATTTCTTACGAGTGATCTTGCTAATTTGGTTTATGAGAACAGGTACACTAACGTTTTTAATAAGAAAGTACTAGGTCCTAGCTTAACTATCATTTTGTATCGATCGAGTTGGGTAACTATTATTTTTATCTGTTGTGGGTCTAAAAAATTACTCCTAATTCGTGCACATCATACGTTTTATCAGGTAGGATTCGTGTGCTTATTTATTTAAAAGTTGGATGATTAAAGTATCTGTTTGTGCATTATGAAATTCGGAGTTTGAAGTTAAAATTTAAAACCAAATTTAAATTTATATATATATATATAAATTTAAATTTGGTTTTAAATTTTAACTTTAAACTCTGAATTTCATAATGCACAAACAAACACTTTAATCAACCATGCTATGTGCAACGTTTAAAAACATTAGTATATATAAAACTAGAAAATAAAATAAAATAAAATCTAAATGATTGATTTATTTAATAAGGATTATTTGGTGTGATGGATAAAAATACTAATTTCAAAGCAACTCTTTAATACCCTCAATTCTTTATTTGATTAGAAAGTGTGGATAATTTATTCCACGATTAATAATATGATCAAGATAAGTTATCGCTGGATAAACATAATAATTTCAGGAGAATAATTATGACTAGGAATATAGAATTAATTTATCTGTACGTATAATGTTGATTTGAACATGCAAACATGTATTGAAAAGATGAAGGAAGGCTGATGGACGTTGGGGTAAAGGACACTGTAGATACGAGTAGAATTTTTCTTTAACTTATTAATGACCATGAATTATAGAGTTCCAATTTAAGATAATTATTCAATAACATATTTAAGAGATTATGTATTTGATTTATTTTTTAAAAAAAATATATGGTATAAATATTAAAAGTGATAGTATGTATAATTGTTTTAAATTAGAGGTAATATCATATATATGATAGTGTTTATGTAGTTAAGTAGTTAGTTAAGAAATTAAAATTTAAACTGAATTCAAGGAGAAAAAAACAAAAAGCGAGTTTGTAAAGGGGAAGTGATTTTACTATGAAACCCAAAATTAGTTAAATCATAGGGGCCTATTAAGTAATTTCAAATTATTTTAACGAAAGAGGGCCCAAAATACACTTAAGTGAGAAAAGTTGATACAATATTGTCCTTTCATCCTCCTTATCACCTTATGAGCGCGGACGGTTAGAATTAAGAATATTTTTGAGTCAAAGTATTGATGTCAGGGATATTTAGGAGGGATATTTAGGAGTCGAAAGATGGAAAGAGGATAATTTTTTATTAATTCAAATAGTTGAAGGGCTTTTAAAGCCCTTTTCCCATTATGAAATATAATAATATTTTATGTTTTTATAATAATTATACATTGATATACATATATTCAAAATTGTTGTCACGATTCTGTATGCACACGTATATTGTATATATGCTACTAGTGTATCAAAGATCAATTCTTAGCCTACTCTTATTTATTTGGTGATGAATAAACTAACACGTAATATTTTAAAAAAATCATATATATTATTTGTACATGGTACAATGTTAATTGACAATATGTAAAATGAAGTTAGCGATAAATCGAAGATTTGAACACAAACTCTAAAGTTAAAAGGTTTTAGATTGAATTGGGCTAAGACTAAATACATAAAGTGCAATTTTAGTAACACTATCACATGAAGCATTTGTGGAAGTAATAATTGACACATAGGTTATCTCTATGAAAGGAAACTTTAAGTATTTTGGATCAACAATTTCAAGAAATAAAAAATTTAACGGGATGCCACACATTATATTGAAGTGGAATGAATAAAATGAACGCTCATATTCAATGTATTATGTGATAAGAAGGTACCACTGAAACTTGGATAAAAGTTTTATAGAGTGAATGGTAGACCAATTATATTGTATTAAATAAAGTGTTGGCTAATCAAGATTTCATACTTCAAAAAATGAGATGAGAATGCATAGATGGAGTTTAGTAGAAGAGATACTATCAGAAATAATGAGCAACAGGATAAGGTGGGAGCAACCTCAAGAGTGAACAAGATCTGAACGAGGTTGAGATAGCTTAGATATGTAAAAATGGAGAGTACATATACTCCACCGAGGACATGCGATAGGTTGTTAGTGATAGTCTAAGGAGACATAGATAGACCGGAAAAGAAATAGATTCAGGTGATTTGACATGACATAATCTATCTTCAACTCACCTAAGAGATGACCCTAGATAAGAAAATATGAAGGTCAAGAATTTAGTAGCAAACTAGTATATAGTTAAATGATTATTATATATTACTATCTTGTTCTTCAAATTATATCACAATATTATTTCTTTTACTTAGGTTATCCTTATGATTTCTGTTGTCATTACTTTTCTCTTTCTATGATTATTTTTATCATAATTTTTACTTTTGTATTTGTCAAATCCGTTTATTTTTGAAAATATTTTTCTTGAGTAAGGGTCTATTAAAAACTACTTTTCTATTTCATACAAATTAGAAAGAGATTTGCGTACATCTCACCTTTCCAACCTCTACAATATGGGAACTCGACATTCACTGTATTCGTGTATAAACACATTAATATTCTAAGCGCACACATTCAATGTATATGCTACACTTTCAAATAAAGAGCTATTATATTTTGGAAATATTTTAAACTTCCCGCGGCTTCCTATTCTTTTTCCTTTAAAGGTCCATTCAAATAGTGAACCAATCAATTTCAACTGGTCAAATTTCAAACACTAATATTGTGTCTTATGAATTTTTTTCAAATCCCAACTCACTAAATTTCAAAAGCTAATATCATAATTTTTCCATTAAAAGTTCGTTCAGATAGCAAACCAACCAAACTAAATTTGTCAAAATTCAAGGCTCTTGGTCAAATTGGACAGACCCATATTGACAACTTTAGAATGAATGGAGGAGTGTTTAGTGCAATTTATTTGGCCCTTGTTGCAAAAAGAAAGAACATTGCAACAGAAATTAGAGGGCTGAATTGCAAATATAAAGTGCCCCTATTTATTCTCAATATCTCCGTCTTTCGCCCAGACAAACTAAGAAAACCAAACCGTTACAGAGACCAGGTAAGCAGACCATTTCCATCCATTTATCCCTAATTTCTTGCTTCCGCCATGCAAACCCACTTTCAAATTCATTGATAATCAGAAGCCCTTCAAATTTGAATTTCATTTCTGGCTCTACAAATCCATTGCTGTAAGCTTCCTTCTTCCTCTGTTTTTTTTTTCATTCAATGATCGAATCTAGCATGTTTATGTGAAATTTTTAATTTTCTTCAATTGGAGATCATAATCAGTTTCTGATTATTATTATTTTTGACAGAAAAACTAGGACTTTAACTTTATATCTAAAGTTATCTGAAGGGCAGGTTTGAAGTTCATTCTTAAAATTGGTATGATTTGTTTCAGAACTTCCTGTTTTATTAATCTCTAGCATGCAAACCTTTATCTGCAATTTTTATCCTCTACTAAGTGTAGTTCCATTTTTTCTTTTGATATGATCGATTTTGTTTTCATTTCCCTTTTTACCCTTGTACATTTTTTTGGTGCTCTCTAGAAATGTAGGCCACATTTGTTTTGATTAAGATTAAGATGTCTGTATATGAATGCATATCTATGCATATCCAAATGATTAAGATTTTGTTTTTAGATCTAACCACTACACTGGTGATTAAAATTGTTTGTTTTTCAACATTAGGATATGCATAATTATTTGTTCATCAACATAATAAATTTACAATTTAATAAAAAGTAAAAGGTAAAATTAAAAATTAATAAAATGAAATCATTATTTGATTAAAAATGAAACAATATTTACATTCTCTAAAGACGGTGGAGATGGTTTGTAGTGGTGGTGGTGGTATTGGCGCTAGTGGCTAGTATGATGCTGGTAATAATTGTGATGGTGGAGGTTAGTAGTGTTGTAGTGACTGACATGATGGTAGAGGTAATTAGTGTTGTAGTGAGCGACGTGATGGTGGTTGTTGATAATAGTGGCGGTGGTTGTGATGGTGAAGTTGATTGATGTTAGTAGTTAGTAGTGTTGATGGTGGTGGCGGAAGAATGTTTGATGGTTGATGATATGTTGGTGTAAGTTAAAGATGTTGGAGGCGGTTGGTAATAAGGATTAACCACCATGGTGGTAATGGTGTTGGAGGTGGCTGCGATGGTGGTGGCAATGAGTGTAATTATAATGATGGAGATTGTAGGTGTGGTAATGACTTATAGTAGTGGTTGGCAATGGTGGTGGTTGGTGGTCGTGGTTGTGATGGCCGGTGGTGGTTGCAACTCGTGGTTGTGATGGCCGGTGGTGGTTGCTAGTCGTGGTTGTGATGGCCAGTGATGGTTGCTAGTCGTGGTTGTGACGGCCGGTGGTTCATTACTATAATTGTGGTGGTGGTTGTAACGAGAAAGATGTTAGTGTTGTGACCGGTGATTGTAGATAGAGTGATGGTGAAAATTATTCAAACAAAAATATCTCTTTATGATATTATTACTTTGTTCAAGATCTTAATGATTAAGACCTATTCAAACCAAATAAGTGCTTATATCTTAATATAAACAAATGTATTTAATGGCCTATGGCTTCAGCCATTCAGATGCACTTAATGGCCTATGGTTTGAGCCATTCAGATTCAAACCTCCATTAAGTGCAAACAAATGAGACTTGTATGCTTTCACCTGCCATATAGGTACATATGTCCTAATAACTGGACGTATTTATACATGTTACAAATATCCATGACCACATCACCAATCAAGACAAAAATTGACCAAATTACCACGACCGCACATTCCTTTTGATGCCCTCAAGCAACACATCCTTGACTTTGATAGTTCCAGAAATAGGATACAATTTGCTAAGGTAACCAGTTGGGTATAGATTGATCTTGAACGTACTTACTCCTGATCACATTAGTTAGAAGATCATTTGGGTTCATTGCCACTTCAAAACGAAATTTCACAAGCACCGCAAAATTGGTTTCTCTACACCTAATACCAAAACCACCTTTCTCTTTGTCCTTACAGGTAGAATTCCAATTGCCTGGGTGTACTTTCTTTTTCTGCATTGTTTCACCTCATAGGAAATTCCTCTTAATTCTATCTATTCTCGCACATACCTTAACTGGAAGAGCATTTGTAAACGTCACATGTGTTAATATGGCATTTAGCATATATCATAGAGTTGATTATAGTGGTTCTTCTAACAACAGATAAACAGCCTAAATCGTTTGTGAATATATATATTCTATTACTTATAGTAAGAGCATTGCTTTTTGAGATGTTTGGAGAGACATATAGGGTGTGTTCGGTATGGATTTTCAATCCTTTCATGTTCTGTTGGTCAAAAATTTTAAAATCATTTTCTCTAGGAAAACAAGTTCCTTTAAAATGAGCAAAATGCTAGTGAAAGTATAGAAAACAACTTTCTCAAATGAAAATAATAGATCTTTCTCAAAGAAAGTAGAGAAAAACAAGTTTCACAAGTGGCATTCCGCATCGATTGTGTCCTCCCAACCCTCCAATACACCTCATCTTCACCCACAGCCTTCATCGCCACCACACAAGAATGCCTCTTATTTCCCTAAAGACATTTTCCAAGAAAACATATTCATGGGAAACATTTTTTTTCATATAAGATACATCCATAATTTATTAGATTTAGAGAAATTAATGGAATGAGCAGACATAACACAAACGGGTAATGTTATGTACACCCCTAGAAACATAAGGTCATCGATGAAGAATAAGTGGGTAATGTCAGGTACACCCCTAGAAATATTAATACAATCCAAACCTTATCTATATTTCTTTCAATTATCGTATTCAACAATCTTTCCATGCATAGCACAAATAGATAAGGCGATAGATGATCACCCTGCCTAAGTCCTCCACCAATACCTGTTTGTGGATATGAATTTATCGCTACTTGTTCTTGGTTCTTTTTTAGTCTTGTTGTAGAGTCTTGACTCCCAGGTTCTAATTGCTCAATCTTGTTAACATTTTTTCCCCAAATGAATACATTGATAACCCCTTAAACTTGCCAACAAATTTTAGTTAGATACTTGGAACATATGACAATCTGGTCCTACTACACTTCTGGCTCAAACTTTTTATTTATTTATTGTGCCTGTGTTCATAAACGTCCATTAAGTAGTCACATAAAATATGTCACTTCCTTTAATTATACACTTCAACATCAATTGAAACAGGCATTAGGTTTTACGACCATTGAGGCTAATGTGTAATAGCTGAAGGAGCTGACATATTTTGAGTGGTTAACTTATTTACGTAATGAGCACTTGTAAACACACGCATAAACTTTCCCAATATTTTAGTTAGAATTGTGTGGAGCAAGTGATATGAAGTAAGAGTTTGGATAGATGTAAAGGAAAATGATATGTGAAGGAGGTCTGTCCCCTTTGATAGGAAATGTTTCATTGGAAAAGGTTTTCCAATGACCAAACACCAGAAAATGAATGAAGGGTGAGCCTTTAAAGTCCACCACATCGAAGAGATGAATGTTGCAAAAATGCAAATGCAAAGATGGATGTGCAGTCACTAGACAAGATGGACCACATTCAACAGAACATGCAAGTAGCACAAACATAGTATATAATGAGAGACGGTAACTTAATGGTTTGGTCATGGCCTACATCAACCTCTAAGGTAAATTGCCATGATGGGTAACGGATTAAAGGAAGAGAAGGTAGATCTAAAATCACGTAGAAGTTGTCTCGCAAGACCTACAATCTCTTGAAATCCTTGCGGATCTAGTTAACAAATGGCACGATAGAAGAAAAAGATCTGTATATGTGATATCAATTAGCTGAGACTTTTAACCATGTCAGCCCTTTCCCCCAAATTAGTTGAGATTAAGTTTTGGTCATGTACTATGTTTACTTTAGGGGAAGAATAAAATTTGTATCGGTGATATCAGTTAGATGAGATTAGATTTTGGTCATGTTAGTATGTTTACTTTAGTTCCAATATTTTTCAAGTCTTGTTAGAGATTTATACTCTAGTAGAAATTGTAGACAATCTCTAGTGCTAATGATTAAATTTTCCTAATATTGGACTGAGTTGGACATAAATTCAACAATATGGATGGTGATGATTCATATAGGCTAGTTGCTTCGGATTGACACCTAATTGTTGCTGTTGCAAACTCTAGAAAATGAGTTCTTTTGCAGAATGATTTCTATCATACTAAATACTGATCTTTTAGGCCAAAGGAGAAATAGATATGTCTGAAAGCGTTTCATCTCCTTCGTGATTTATCTCTACTAAAGCAAATGTCGTCTTTTCAGTTTCAGGATTCTAACGGCCAAGAGGATTTCTCCTTAGTTGGTCAAAGATGGCATCAGTGTCAAAAGATGGGTTATCCAATAAAAGCGTGAAGAAGCGGCTGTTGGAAAATGGTTGCCACTCCTCATATTTGGGTATTATACCAAAATATAAAATTCGAAAAGTCTCAGCAGTGCGAGATTTTCCTCCAGGGTGTGGTAGAACTTCTCTGAAAGTTGATTTGAATCATGTGCAAAATGCTGAAGTGTCCACCAATATTGAAGACATGACTAACATTATATTGGTCGATGGTGTTAAAGAGACTAACATTGAGGTTAAATCACAGTCTGTTGAGGTTGTGAACGATCTAATTAACTTGGAAAATCAAGAAAATGTGGATAGGCTAGCAGGGGAAGTGATGGCGACAAACATGAGTGCAATTGCAAATGGGGTAGGAGAAAAAATAAGTGATGAAAAATCGACTGGATTTGAGTTACCCAAAGATCTCAAAACTAGTGAAATGGAGCTTTCCAAGGAAACAGAAGACATTCAGAATGACACATCAGTGAAGGAAGTTGATGAGCAGGGTTTACCTTTGGTTGAAAGTATTAATGGTGGGCACATGACACAGAAGCTAATCAGTGTTATGGAACATACATCCACCTCGCCAAAGAATAAGTACCGCAAAAGAAGAGTATCTGCTGTTCGAGACTTCCCTCCATTTTGTGGAACAAAGGTTCCTAAGTCAACTGAGCAGAATTGTTTCGGTGTTACTGAAGAAAGCAAGGATGTGGCTGGATTCGGTAAGGCAGTCACAAGGAATGAAGTAATTGAGACATTGAGAGAGGTTACAGAAACTGGGGCATTGCCAGAGAAGTTGATTGGAAGCGAGGATGCTGATTCTCTGAAAGATAGAGACGTTTCTAGTCCAAAAGATAGGCAGTTGGAACAAATCACAATGGTCCGGACTGAAGAACAGGAAGGCGTCCAATGTGATTATGATGGAAGAAGTCAGGTGGAAAGAACTGTGGTTATGCCTGAGATAATGACGAAAAAAGGGAGTGATGCAGGACCTGTGGGGAAGGAGACCCTGGTTTATTCAGAGAACGAAAGGGAAAAGTTAACTTCTGCAAGTAGTGCTCTTGGTTCTGGAAATGAAAAGCAGATTACAAAAGGTGCTAAGCCATCTGGTGCACGGAAACAAGGGAAGCAAAAGAGTCTAGACGACCCTGTGAGTGGAAATGAAATTGTTGTCTCACAGGTCGAAAGTCATTTGACAAAGACTGCAGTCAACGCTTTTGGTTCTGGGCATGAAATAGTTAAGCCAATTGTGCAAGGTCTGATGGCCAAGCCATGCTGTCCATGGAGGCAGGGAGAGCCAACTAGTTTAGATTGTGGAAACCAAGTTGAGAAGGATGATTTTTCTGGGCGCAAGAAGGCCAAAGCTGTTACCAGAAAAAGTAATCCTAGAGGTAAGAAAAAATCAGTTACTCTTGGTGAAGCTACTGATGGACTTTCAAGTGCATTAGTTGTGTTCAATGACAAAGGGCCTGGTTTGTGGGCTACGAGCAATGACGGAGCTTGCAGTTTGAATAGAGAAGCTGTACATGAAGATTCTCCCGTTCGACGAGGACAATGTGATTTTGATGTGACCCTACCACCTTTTGGTCCAAACAGTTCCAGTCATGGTGATGCCCGTACTAAAGTTAGAGAGACTCTTCGTCTGTTTCAGGGTATATGTAGAAAGCTTTTGCAAGGTGAAGAATCAAAGTCAAAACCTGAAGAAGCAAAATCGAAGCAGGGACCAAACAGAATTGATCTTCATGCAGCAAAAATCATCAAAGAAAAAGGAAAAGAAGTTAACACGGGTCAGCACATACTGGGTGAAGTTCCCGGAGTTGAAGTAGGGGATGAGTTCCAATACAGGGTGGAACTTGCTATTGTGGGGGTTCATCGCCTGTATCAGGCTGGTATAGATTACATGAAGCAAGGAGGTATGCTAATCGCGATTAGTATTGTTTCTTCAGGGGTCTATGATGACGGTCTGGAAGATGCTGATGTGTTGATTTATTCTGGGCAAGGTGGAAATGTGGTGGGTAAGTCCAAAACCCCTGAGGATCAGAAACTGGAAAGAGGTAATTTAGCTTTGAAGAATAGTATATCAGTAAAGAATCCTGTTCGGGTGATTCGTGGCTCTAAGGAGACTAAGAACTCCGACTCTGTGGATGGTAAAGGTAAGTTAGTGACAACATATGTTTATGATGGGTTGTACACTGTTGAGAATTATTGGACAGAACAAGGGACAAAGGGTAAGATGGTTTTTATGTTTAAATTGGTGAGAGTTCCTGGGCAACCAGAGCTTGCTTGGAAAGAAGTAAAGTCATCGAGAAAGTCCAAAGTACGGCATGGTGTTTGTGTCCACGACATTACAGATGGAAAGGAGACATTCGCGATAAGTGCTGTGAATACAATTGATGGTGAGAAACCTCCACCATTCAATTACATCCAGAAGATTATATATCCTGACTGGTTCCAGCCTTCTCCTTTTAAAGGTTGTGATTGTATTGGGAGATGTTCTGATTCCAAGAAGTGCTCATGTGCAGTTAAAAATGGTGGTGAGATCCCATACAACCGTAATGGGGCTATTGTTGAAGTGAAGCCTCTTGTATATGAATGTGGTCCTCATTGTAAATGTCCCCCTTCTTGTTACAATAGAGTCAGCCAACATGGTATTAAAGTTCCACTCGAGATCTTTAAGACAAATTCAAGGGGCTGGGGTGTGAGAGCTCTTACATCTATTCCTTCAGGAACCTTTATATGTGAGTATGTAGGAGAACTTCTTGAAGACAAGGAAGCTGAACAAAGAATTGGCAGTGATGAGTACCTTTTTGATATTGGGCAGAACTATAGTGATTGTTCTGTGAACTCTTCCAGGCAGGCAGAAGTAAGTGAGGTAGTAGAAGAGGGTTATACAATTGATGCAGCTCAGTATGGAAATATCGGGCGATTTATCAATCACAGTTGCTCACCCAATTTGTATGCACAAAGCGTTCTTTATGATCATGAAGATAAGAAAATGCCTCATATCATGCTTTTTGCAGCAGATAACATTCCTCCTTTGGCGGAGCTCAGTTATCATTACAATTATTCCGTGGATCAGGTACATGACTCCAAGGGCAATATCAAGGTGAAGAAATGCTTTTGTGGATCTTCAGAGTGTAGTGGTAGGATGTACTAGGGGTTTGTAAAGCTTTCTTTCTAAGTTGAGGTGGAAAATTGCTCATCTGATGTAAGAATTTTCACTGCAATTTATTCGTCCTCCTTACTTTGATGTTTGCATTTGATCGGATTAATATGTACTGTATGTTTTCCCTTCTCATACATGAATCTGGATGCATTTAGTGTTTGTATCTATCTCTTCTTTCCCTATTGCAAAGAAAGTCGGCTACATTGTGGGTAAGGTGCATACAGATTTTGCTGGGAAAGAGAAATTTGCTCAGGGAGGCTCATAAGCTTCGTTAATCAAGACTATGATTTTGCATTTATATTAGACTACTTGTTGCCTGTGTTGGACATACAATTTGTGTTTGTATTATTGAAAGACGGTATACTCAAGCAAATATCAATGGCAAGTACCATACTTATTGAATCAATCTGTGCTCTTTACTGCTTTCATTTTAGTCTACTCCTTTTCAAAATGCTTTATTCAAATAGAGACAACCTCTCTATCTCGTAACGGAGCAGGGGTAAGCTCTGCGTACTCTCCTGATCTCGATCACTTGTGATTACGCTGGGTATGTTGCTTCTGTTGTTTACAATTACTAGAGAGAGAGAGAGAGAGAGCCATGATAACTCAACAAACAGCAGCGAAGTAGTTTATTATAGATCTATATATTGGAGAACCAAGTACAGGAGGTGATCTCTAATACGCAACTAGTCTAAAATTTATTCTGTGAACTGACAGCTGATGCATCACCAACTAGATATAGATATGTATGTTTAAGAGAGCTGAATGTCTGTCTCAATAGTGATCCCAGCTTTCCATTCAGCAGGGATGACAGCCTTATCAGACTCCACCCATTTGGTTTCAGCACCAGCACTTGTGAGGAACCTCACTTTAAGTTCACCACTTGGTGGGTTCGATAGGTCGAATACAGCTCCATAAGCTCTCCTCATTGATATCCATTCTTTTGTTTCCTCCTGCATCAATATATAGTGGTAAATCATATTTGCCAAGATAGTCTTCCAACATCAAAAAAATAGTTTATGAATTATGATCTGAATAGTAGATGTTGAATTCATTTAACTTCTTCAAGTATATTCTTAGACGAACCTCAAAGACTTCGACAGAATGAATGTCAGTAGCACCACCTTGGTTCATAACAACAATAGCAAGGTAGTTAGGGTGTTTGCTATGTTCATTGACTTTAACCATGAGATTTCCTCCTCCATATTTGCAAGAAACTCTACGATATTCTACTTCAACCACTCCTTTGGCAAACAAGTGCTGAGCCATATTAGGTTGCTTTGCCATTTTAGCATAGGCACGGGAACTTAGAATAAAGTCTGTGCCATGCCCTTCTCCATTATCAGTCACAACTACTTTTGTGCCCTCATCACTGCACATTTCCTTGTCCTTGCACCTTACCTGCAAATTTTACTTTTGTTAATTAACATTTTAACTAATATTCATCAAATGGTGTGATGAGTTTTTAAAAGATTGCATGATATTATCTATTTTGGGTCAAGTCTACACGGTTTTCCTCAAAAGGTCTCACACCATTAAAAGATTCTACAGTTATACGTAGTTTTTCAATTTTTTCAGTTATCAATATGAGACTTTGTTCGCACACCCTGCGACTATATATTTAGTGTAAACAAATTAATTACTTTGACATATGACTTTTACTTGGGGTGCAAATTATGAAGGAAACAAGGATCTAGAATACCTGGTAGCAAGCTCCACAGGCAGCTCCATTTTTGTAAAGGCGCTTTGAGGTTGTGCAAACATCACCACTATTCACATCTTTACCATAGTCTCCGTAACCACATGCTCCACCTGATTTAAATTATGAGCAATTAAATGTTAAAATTAGATATAACATGTGTCAGTTTAATATTTGATATATCAACCATCAGAACACGCGATATTAACTCATTTTTTTAAGGAGAATCTCCATTACATATCCAGCCTTCGCCCGTTGCTTAGGCATTGCACTAGTTCAGCCCAGGCCTGGCGCACCCGTTGTATACAGAGAAAATAGTATTCATGAATTTAGCAGGATTTTATTTCATTTTACGTTACACGAGTCGTTTCGAAATTAATCTTAGATATTAATCAATTTGACGATATTTAGTAATAAGGTTTTGGCTTGGAGAAGTGAGAAGTTACATGAAAACTTAATGTATGTAATTTGATATCAACATAATCTAATTCTTTTTAGTTAAAAGCAGGGAACTATTCATGTAACATAATTAGGAGACCATGACACATAAATTTAAATTACTCTTTAATCAAAGATTTTGAATTTGAGTCTTGGGTATAAAGAAAATCTTATAGAAAGTGTCAATAGGCTTTGCAATATGCCATCCAAATTTAGTTGGAACTCTAATGAAGGTACCAAACACCGGATGAGAATTTTTTTTAGAAAAAAACACATAAATGTAAATAAATTTTGAAATTTTGGAAGGTGAGAAAAAGAGCATACTTGGTGTCCCCATGCCATCTGGGGTGGTGTAATAGGAAACTGTTGAAACGTAATTATTGCTATAGCATAGTGTAGGCAAGAGCAGAACAATGAAGATAAAAGTGTTTTTGAGAGAATCCATTTCTTTTTTGTCTTATAGAATTATATATATTTTTATGAAAAAAAGTAGTGAATGTGATATTATTGTACGAAAATTTTCTATGAATTTATATGTGTGAGCTAAAATAGTAATATTAACGTTTTCTGCCACATTTCTACTTCCACTATGGAAAGTGGAAACCAGATGTAAATGAAAGAAAAATTAGTACCAATATTAACTTGATGACACACAATTACACTAACCATTCATTGAACATCCTAATAATCAAACCAGGAAAGAACCAAAATATATAATGTTTATTCCTTCAAGATTTTTCATCAACAAATGTAAAGAAAAGTCATTATCCGACATTCCTAACGACCAAATATAAGGAGGTCCAAATCATCTTACATACGATGACATTATTAATAGTTTTAGAATTACGAAAAAATTTAATTAAAAAAAATCTAATTAAAAATAACACAATTGTACTCATGAATATAAACCTCGACTTCAATTATGAGTATATATATATATATATTTGGTCACCTCTTATAATTACACATGTTGTAATCTAGAGAACCATAAAAAGAAATGAACTTACTTCCACATGCACCTCTAAACAACGGACGAATTATCGATTGTCTGAGTTGCATGGGAACACTCTTAATATATATACTATTCACGTACGCGATCATAAGTTAAAGTTGATATATTTCTACGATAATAATTAAAAAATTTGTGTAAAATTAATGAAATTTAGAATATACACGTCTATCCAGTTTATGAGAATATTTTCTTCTGGATATTCATCGAGCTTTTGGCTTTGATCAATAACAAAAGTATATTTTGGTTGATTTGATCTACTTTAATTATGTTCTGTCTTAATACAAAAAAAAACAAAAAACAAGAAGCTTGACCAATGGAATATACGATTATCTTTTTACATTCACACAAAATATAAAATAAAAGAATGTTTCATCTCATTGCTTGTTACTAATTCCATTAATTGGGAGTATTATTCAATATTTCAGTTATTAGTTGATGTATTTTATTTGACATGCTAAATGATTTACAAAAAGAGGAGAGAATCGTGGTATCACCTTACATGAGAATTGAGAAACAGTCATGTGGTTGCTCATTCAAAATTGATTATATAATGTTTTGTATGCCAAACAACACAACCGGATCCGTGGCGCAATGGTAGCGCGTCTGACTCCAGATCAGAAGGTTGCGTGTTCGATTCACGTCGGGTTCAATTCCCCGAATAATATATCCGGTCCTTTTTTTGTCTTTCATCCAGTCCTAATTGAGAGATTATAAAACAATCAATTAGTTTACCTCTCTTAATTGACAAACTATAATGATGGAGTTAAATTAAGTTTAATTTAGTGACTATTTGTAAAATTTTCTTTTATAAAAAAAAGAAGATATATATAGAAAGAACTCGTAATTGACAAACTACAATTATGAAGTTTCATTGAATTTAATTTAGTGGTTATTTGTGAAATTTTCTCAATTTTTTTTCAAAATAGTTTAAAAAAAGATTTCACAAAGAGGAAAAAAGGAGATCCATTGGAGGCACATAAAAACTGCACAAAAAGTGACCGGATTATTATTCGGGGGTTTTGAACCCGACGTGAATCGAACACGCAACCTTCTGATCTGGAGTCAGACGCGCTACCATTGCGCCACGGATCCGGTTGTTGTAAAAACACTCTTTATATAAAATGAACGAGAGTAGCTGTCCATTTAGGATATACCATCTTGCCTCAATCAAACAATTGGTGGAAGAAAGTTGCTTCTATACCATTTCAACTATGACACATCAAGAATAAATAAAACACTTCAATACTTACATACTAGTTATTGTGACATACCATATAATGTTAACATTCTCAAATATTGGACAAGGACGAGACGCAAAGGGAAAGAAAGAATATCTTTGAAACAAAAAAAGGACTTTAGATTACGTATGTAGTAGTAGCACTACCTACTAGTATAGTCAATTTAAAGTATTTATCAAGTCATGTTGGCTCAAGTTTGGTCCAGAGTTCTTAAGTTTCTATGATCAATTAGTATTATAAATGTATATAAATTCTAGTGTTAGAGAAACCAAATTTGTGAGGGATGATTCACATGCATATGAGAGGAAATGGATTGCGAGGATGCATATATCTGACCTCAAGTAACATGGATTAAAGTGATGTTTTAGTTGTTAAGTCAAGAACAGAGGAGGATTTACCTCTTTTTTCAGATAATGTTCAGTGCCTCAATGATTATAATCTCCCTCGATGCATTCTCATTAATATGAAACAATAAATAAATACACATCATTTAAATGATGAATCTAACTTAACCACAAAAATAATCATTTAAATGTTATACTACAACAACAAACCCTCGATACAAAAGAAATGTTATGAAAGCAAAATTGCATAAACAATACGACAACAAAGAATGACTCATAAAATAACCCGTAGCCTATCTTCCACAAAAAATAAAAATGTATCAAAATAGTAGACGCTAACGCTAGAAGGAGGGCTTGAACCTCCGACCTTGTGGTTAACAGCCACACGCTCTAACCAACTGAGCTATTCCAGCTTTGATAACAAATGAAACCACATCATTAATTTTTTTTAAAAATGTAATGGAGTTTTGTCCTTGCCAACTTATTAATTGCTCCTTAAAGATCAATCATATACACCTCAAATCCAAACAATTTTTGGGATCAAGAAAAAAGTTCTAAAAATATTACTCCCTCCGCCCACAATTGTTTGGCAGATATACTAAATATAAACGTCTAAAATTCATTGTTAATTAAGATAATCAAGAAATAATTAGTCACCCTTTTCCAAATTTGCCCTTAACAATTGAAAAGTTAGGTAGACTTTTAATATTCTTGATATAGTAGGGTTATTTAGTCAAATTACACCTTGTATGTTCCCGTTTTTTTTCGGCACTCGCTTCCTTCGTCTTAAGTAAAGTTCAGTTTACTTTTTCGATTCGAAACTCTTAGCCGAGCTGATGGCGAGATCGATTTTTTGTTCGAGGTTCAAGAGGAAGGAGAGGAACTACTGCCCAATGATGCTTTTACGAAAGTATGGACTCCTCCTGTTCGAACCGGGGTTTGAAATCGAACTCCTCCTCAGGAGGATAGATGGGGCGATTCGGGTGATGAGGGTGTGCATCACCTTAAGATGACAAACAATGTTGAACGGAGGGATGAAATAGCGGAGAAGGGGTGAAATGTCACATGAACATCAATTGAATTCTCTGTGTCAAAAGATTCTGTTTAAAAGCATTCATGAAAATCTATGCAATGACCAATTATAGTTAGTTCGCCAATTTTCTAAAATAAGTTTATTTTAAAGTGTTTTTTTCAAAAATAATTTTGTTTCACCTAAAAAAGTTTAATAACACTTTTGAGCTACCATTAATTTTTCCAATTTTAACCAAGATTCTTAAAAGTATTTCTATCAATGTATTTTCTTCTTTTAAATTAAGAATTTTTTGAGAGAATAATACTTTTTTAGCTTGTGAAAATTTTTTTCTACTACTCCCCCAATATTTTCTTTCTCCCCCAAAAAACTTGACTTAATATATCACTTTTAAAAAATGACATATTTAGAAGGGCGGCCAAAGTAACTATATTGCTTGTTAAAAATGAAAGAATACACTCTTTTTTTTCCACTCTTGATTTGTATCAAAATATATATATTTTTTATATAAATCATATTATAAAATATAAAAATTATATATTTATTTACTGTTATTTTAATAAACGATTATACGTTATAGTTTTTTCCAATGTTTTCCTCCAATATTAAGGGGTTATTTGTGTGAAGGATAACATCAAATAATCTTGGGATTAAATTATAGTGTATTGTTTTTTGGTTGGCATGTTCGGGATAATTTATCCCGGAATTAATAATTCGCACGGGGACAAGTTATCCCTCCTTTGGGTGGTATAGTAATTCTGGCATAATTTATTTTGGGATAAAATAAGTAAATGATAAAAATATCCCTTTAAATTCTTTTTTATACATCACTTTTTATATTCATGAAGGGTATTTTTGTAAACAAATAAAATATTGTCAAAATTTATTGTTTTAAATACAACAAACCAGATACCTAATAAAAAAATAATCTTAATATAATTTATCTCATCATAACTTATCTCATTATAACTTAAATTCAAACCAAACGACTTAGAGTTAAAAGATACTGCAACAATGAAAAATTAATTCACATGTGAAAACGTACATAGGGTTATCAGATGAACATTTTGGTTCCATCATCGGCTGCGACAACGTTACAAAGAATAAAGATTAATATTGCAATATATATATATATATATATATATGGAAAAGGGTCTAATATACCCCTCAACTTTGTCATTTAGAGCTGATATACCCCTCGTTATAAAAGTGGCTCATATATGTATAGAGTACTCATTACGAAGTATAATAATTTTCACATGCAACTGTGTAGAGCTTATGTAATACGGCCATTTAAAGGAATTATAGGATCACGTTATAATTAAGTTGAGTAATCTTCATGGCAGATGTTTCAACATTAACGCATTTAGAAGCATTAACACAATACCATTAATATGTCTAAGAAATTCTTAATTTGTCTTAGAGAGAACGAATATATGTTTAATGACATGATCAACACTTTTCAAATAGCAAAAAAGAAATTATAGAGCTTATGTGTAACACGAACGTTTAAAGAAATTTATAAGTTAAAAGTAATATATCTAATCTAAATTATTACTACGTGGGACATATAAAACGGGTAATTATTGGAGACACTAATTGATGTTAATATTGGTTCTAAATGAAAATTGTATTCAAAAGATTTGTTTATTCTGTGGTTCCACTTTCTTTTCACAATAGTTCAAATACTACTAGACACTAATTTTGAAAAATAATATAAGATAATCACGACTTTGATGAAAATAAGTTATAATTATATATGTGATCACTTATGAAATTTATAATCACAAAATAATCTTTACGTTATGTGTTGAACCTTGATTAATTCCAAGAAATAAAATTTCCTACTAAAGAAATTTATATAAGATTCATGAATTCACAATAGCATGTACTCCTCCATTTTATTTTATATAAATTAATTTGATTTGTTATGGAGTTTTGAAATTTTGCTTTGGGTATTTGTGTAATTATAATTTATTTCAGTTTGCATAAATAAAAATATTAAAAATAAATTGTTATTTAACATAGAAATTTAGACTAGTTTAAAAAAAAAAACATATAAAGTGGGAGTATTATTTACGAACATATCACCCCTAATTAACTATTCTAATAAATCAACATAATCTTCATGTTTTTAAGTTATATTAAATGCAATCCTCCCCCTCCCCCCCCCCCCCGGCGTAGCTAGTCAAGTGTATTTACTTCTGATTCTTCGTAGAAAATTAAAAATACATTTAAATTTTATAATTTTAAATTAAAAATATTAAAATCTATTTAATTTTATAATCTTAAATATCTCATAAATAAAATTGAAATTAATGAATCAAAATAAAAACAAAAAAGCATTCTTCTTTAAATAAATTTTTTAAAAAAAGTAAAAATGGTTAAACAAATTAAAACTTAGTGACCAAGGTAATATGAAATTAATGCATTGTAAAATAAAAATTGAAGCAGAAAATGATTAAACAAATTAAAACAAAGTATCCAAGGAATATTGAAATTAATGAATTGTATTAAAAAAAAATATCATTCTTTTCTATTAAAAATGGTCAAACGAAGGAAATATAGTTGACCCATAAAAATAATTCGTTCCTTCTTCTAGTGTCAAGCTTCCTTTAACCACGCTCTTAAGAAACGCGTGTACATCACTCACCCTATTTTTATTTTGCCCCAATTTATTAAATTTGACCTCTCTTTGACTCCATTTGTCCGTTTCTTATCACGTGAAACTTCATGTACAAGTATGATTTTGTGTGTGTATAAATACTTACACTCTTCTGAAGCTCACTTTTGAGCTGCTGTATACTCTAAATTTTTTGTTTGTCTGTTCGGTTTGACGGTTTGATTGGTAATTTTCTCAATTTTTTCTCCATTGTTACACCCCTTTGATGGTTGCATTCTTAGATGTAACTATAAAATCTGTGATGACGAGAAAACAAGGAGTGTTTTCAGTTTGTAGCATGATACGATCATCTTTTAGGTTATGAATGTGCACGTATAATAAAAATTGTTATGAGTTATCGTTAGTTGAATTCTAAATTTTTCTTTATGTGGAAGTTTTTGATTTCTAAATCTTCAGCTCGAATTTGAGTGTTGCATCAATTGCTTAGTAAAAATGATTTTGATGAAGTTGGTTGCTATGCATTAGTCTAGTTGTATTCTAACTCCTACATTTTTCAGTAGATGGGCTGTTTTCTTTCTAAGGCAACAAAGAAGTTCCCTAGGCATGAAAATCCTATCGTCCTTGCTTCTCAAACACTCTGTAAGTTATTAATTAACCTTTCTTAAATTGTGATTTATAGTGTGCACATTTTAATTCTGTGTTTGCATATGAATTTTAGACGTTTATGCCTTAGGCCCAATTATAATTACGTGTTAACTTTTTAAATAATTTTTAATTTTATGTATATAATTTTTATTACGTCGATTTACATTCTCTTCGCTAACACTTATATTATTTTTTCTAAAAAAAATAAAAATTCTTTTGCACTTTCTTTTTTAAAATCTTTGATAAGTTAGAGTTATACACTATAAAAAATATAAAAATCAATAGTCAAAAGTATTGAATAAGGTGACTTACAATTTTTCTTTTGTTTTCTTCTTAAATTTTCAAGTATTTCATAATCATATTAAAGTACAATTATACCAACTTATCAATGTATTATATCAGATACTCTTATTTTTATGTAGTGTTTATCACCTTATTAATTATATGTTTATGTTAACAATTTATATAATGATTGTCTCGGTAAGAAAAAATCTCAATTTTATATTGATAAAATCTCATGTAAGATTAATAATTAAAAAACAGTATTTGAAGAAATCATTTCAACAGAAGATGTTAAGTAATATTTTGCATTTAAGGAAATAAACAACTACATATTAAGTTTATATAGATTTTAGACATCTAACTAAAATTTCCCTTTATACCTCAAATAACATTGAGTTTTGATGCAAATCAAAATCAATGACCTTCGATTATGAATTCTTTGTCAGCTTTGAGAACGAGTTAAATAAAATAGATCGGTACGAAAAGCGTACCTACAATATACACTTTCAAACTGCATAGATTGTTACTGTTGAATAATAAAGACGAATACTAATGTTAAGACATGTAAGTGCTGTTACTATAAAATCCTAGCTTATATGTTTTTTCCTGTTTTTGCAGTTAGTGTAAGTGAAGTTGAAGCATTATTTGAATTGTTCAAGAATATTAGCAGTTCTGTGGTTGATGATGGGCTAATAAGCAAGGTAGTCTTCTATTATAAATGGTCAAACAAAGTCTATTGAGTATCAATGTATTATAGGATAACATTGTTTTCCTACTTATGACAAGTACTTGTTTTTGTTTTTCTTATGCTTGTGAAAATCATGTTGGAGTTGTAGGAAGAGTTTCAGTTGGCTTTATTCAAGAACAAAAAGGAAGAAAACCTTTTCTCGGATCGGGTATGTATAGCTTTGATATGGAGCATGGTGTTGTTTTTTTTTCCTTTTATAGTAGTATGTATATGTGCTGGTTTGTAACTGACAGCTTGTATATGCTTCAATAAAATCTTTTATGTAAAATTATTAATTTGCCTTTTTGAACTATTCTTTTGATGGGATATGATATATTAATTTGCCTTTTTGTATGCAGATATTTAATCTCTTTGATGTAAAGCAAAAAGGAGTAATTGATTTTGGTGATTTTGTTAGAGCACTTGACGTTTTCCACCCAAATGCCCCACAAGAAGTGAAGATCGATTGTAAGTGAAACAAGTGGTAAAAATATAACTGTCTAGTTCTTTTTTCTGTTCCAAACTGGCACAAAAGAGAGGCATATTGAAAATCCATACTTCTGTTGTTGCAGTTTCATTTAAGCTTTATGATATGGATGGCACGGGGTTCATCGAGCGACAAGAGGTATGCTTTATTTACTTGTCAAGTTTGAGTGTTTGTTTATGTATTTATATATATCTTACCCTTTTAAGTTCAAAGCATTAACTGATTATATAATATCATGCTTTTATTGATTCTTGGTATCTATCCAATATATTTGCAGCTTCTTTATTATTTATGATTTTGGCAGGTTAAGGAAATGTTGATTGCACTTTTAGGTGAGTCTGCTATAACGTTGGATGAGGAGATCGTTGAGATAATACTTGATAAGGTAGTTTACTGATAATGACCAGTTAAAATTTTCAGTTCTTTTAATACATAAACATCGGTATCTCTGCTTCTGTGGTATGATAAAATGTTAAAGGAACCAATGCATTCGATCTGTTTGCAATTTATTCTCACTGTTATGTATAGTTTGCTTCTTGATCAGCCAAGAATAGAATACTGCAAAGCTTTTTACTCTTTGCGTTCCTAAGAATCGCGTCTTGTGGTCAATGTGTAGACATTTTTGGAGGCAGACTCAAATCAGGATGGAAAGATTGACAAATCTGAATGGCATGAGTTTGTGGGACGAAATCCTTCATTATTAAAGATAATGACTCTTCCATACCTAAGGTATCATGTTTTGATACAGACATAAATATATTAGACGTAAGATGTCTCTGTCTAATAAGTTTTATTGATGCAGGGATATAACTACTACTTTCCCAAGCTTCGTATTTCATTCTGAAGTTGATGAAGCTGCTACCCAACTATGAAGTATAGTTGAGGTCGATTCTCTTTCTCCTTAATTACTCTGGTCATTTATTGTCGCACCTAAGTTTGGTTGGAGAATTGGAGCTATTTTTTTTCAGAATGTAGCAAAACTAAAGGCGATTAAAATGGGAACAATAGTGATTTGAATCAAGAGAGTAAGTGAGCCTTATGTTATACGGTTCTTTTGTTAGCAATATCCTGCCATTATATTTAATGGTGAGGTTACATTTCAAACAGTTTTTGTTTGCTGTTTTTTTCTATTTTGAGCTGAAAAATCTTGCGTAGCATCTTCTCAAGCATAACTATGTAATGAAAAAGAAAAAGTTCGTTTCAAATTACATGTTGTTTATTGCTTCAACTATAGTTTTATTTTGTTATGGTTGCTGTTTTTTTTTTTGGTATGCTTTAGAATGTTTATCTATATTATTTCTGGTGTCTTCGTTATGAGGTATGTTGTTAGTTGTTTTGAAGAATTCAAGTGATAGTCACTAGCTGTTTTAAGATTTATTTGCACGTTTTTATCGTTATTTTAATTATTTACCAATTAATGTTTATTATAGAGAGTTACTATCTTAAAAATGATCACTGGCGATACTTAAGAATTAATTGACACTAAATATGTATTTTACTGGCAATTAATCTTCTTCTTTATAAATGTCCTAAAGTCTTTGACAATATCATTAATATCGATAAAGACTTTAACACTCTTTATTAATAACAATATTTAATGCCTTAAGAGTTATTTTGTTATAGTAATTTACGTAAATGGTAAGTGAGCCGCCGATTGTATAAATATTTCTTAGATTAACGGTGCATACAATTTCAACGTAGAACAATTGGTCTACCACATTTCATGAAGTCATTCTTTCCCTAAGACTTTTCTTGACCACTCCCTCACGGCTGATGGGTTTGATCTTGTTTCACGTATCAAGACCGAGCTCGAGGTCTCCTGTCTTGGTATTGTATCTTGTGCGGAGATTGGCTAAGCATATTATTTATTTCAAAAAAATTATTTTAAGAAAATATTATTTTGATGTGTATTTAAGAAACCAATTAATAGCGTGTCTAAGAAGTTCCATTTTTTGAAGAAATGGCAACTTCAAACACTTGGCAGTTGCGTTACTTTGATTTGAGAAACGTGGCCCGTTTGGATGGGCTTAATAAAAGCAACTTTAGAAAACTACTTTTGAAAGTGTTGAAATTTATTTTTAAAATAAACACTTATGTAAAAAAGTTGTTGATATGTTTGGCAAATAAGTACTGATAAACAGCTTTTTAAATCAAAATGTCTGAAATACCATTAAAAGTTGTTAACATAATAAAAGTTAATTAATTTATATTTTACAGCCATAAATAATTATAATTTGCTATCATTCACATATTTTTTTCTCACCACAAATTATTTATAAGAGGAATATAAACTTATTATAGATTTTAAAGATATATATATAATTTGAATAGATCAAAGAACGATTTAAGATTTTATTTTAGTTTCATCCATAGGTAACAATAATTGTCTATCATTCACATATTTCTTTATTATCACAAATTATTTATAAGAGGAATATAAATTTTTATTTAAGTTATATGTGCAACTTATTTTACATTTTAATAATATATAATTTGAATAGATCACTTGAAAGATTTAAGATTTATTTTATTTTCATTTATTAGTAATAATAATTGTCTATCATCCACATGTGAAAAGGGAAAAATGAAGAAAGAGATGTTAGGGTTATGTGGGTAATTTGGAGATTGTATAAAAATATTAAGGGCAAAAAAGGTAAAAATGTGGTCAACTTAAAACAACTTATAAGCTAAAAAAAACACTCTTACCCCTACCTCAGCTTTTAACTTTTGGCTTAAAATACGTTTTTTAACTTAAAATAAGTTATTTTGAGTATTGTCAAACAGCTAATTAAGTCAAAAATCAACTTTTAAGTCAGTTTGATCAGCTTTTAAACTGAGTCAAACAGGCTCATAGTCTTTTTCCTTCTTGCTTTTTCTCTTACTCCCCTTGTTCTGCCTTTTAATTTTTAATTAATTCATAAATTAGTTTTGTTATTTTATTTCTCCTCTTATAACTCGCTAATATTAATTAATTTATGTATTCTTTATTTAAAATAGAAAAATACTTATTTAATTCTGAAAAACATTTCACACCTTTAAAATAGTTTATTGGGACATCACAATTCAAATATTAATTTTATATATTTTTATTATGTATCACAATAATAATATTTATGTTATTTTCAGGATTAAGATTTTAATAGATAATATTATAAATTATTATCAATTTAAGAAACAATTGCATACAATATGTGTCTTGAAATTGGTGATAGTATTGAGGATACTGATGTTGCTGCTATTCTGACTGATACTGTTCAAATTATTCTGTCGGAGGCTTACGGTAAAGAAAATTACAAGTATGTAAATAAACATGGTTACAAGTCAAATGCTAATAATAAAACCTTCATGAAAAATGCAACTCAATGCAAAATAATACTCCCTCCGTTTTAAAAAAGATGTCCTAGTTTGATTTGGAATAGAGTTTAAGAAAAAAAAGAAGACGTTTTAATCTTGTAGTTCTAAATTAAAGTTATGACAGATGTACCAAAATGCCCTTTAATCTTGTGGCCTTAAATATATCACGTGTAAAATTAAAGTTAAAGTATTGCCAAAAAAGAAATGGGTCATTCTTTTTTAATCTGACTAAAAAGGAAATGAGGATATTCTTTTTGAAACAGAGAGAGTATTAAAAAGAAATGATGATCCCATCTTAGAAAATCACTCAACTTTGAATTGATTACTTAGAAAGTCATTTGACTTTTTGTTTTATAACTCAAATATCACTCAACTATTGATGTTTTACTTAGAAAGTCACTCAACTAAAAAATCACTTTACGATATTTCACATAGAAAGTTTTGCGTCTTTCTTTAGACTTAAAGCTGCTTCTATAATTGTGTACGTGTCATTTTAGGATGCAATTGAACACACATCTCTAACTCTCTATCTTCTTCTTTTTTGGACCAATATCATCTTTTTCTAACCTACATTTTTATCTTTAATCAGTTCATAAAAAGTAAAGAAGAACTATCGTCTAGTCGTGAAAATCTTCTTATATTTACTTCTATACAAGGTAAATAGTTACAAGTTACAACACAATGCTCGCATAAGACTTGCAATTTAATGAATGAACTTCTACGCACTATAATTATATAAGCTACTAATTAAGTTGCTAAAATATAATCTCTCCTACAATTTCAAGCCAATCAAGAATTCATCATCCAATCCCTAAGAAGAAGAAAAAAAAGTAAATGCATTTTCTGAATTTCTTAGAATCATTTTGATTTTCAAAGTTAATTCTTCCATTCAATTTAATAGTGTATTTTCAATTCCATCTTCAGTTGAAAAATAGACAATTCCAAGACAACATAGAAAATTAAAAAGCTTTGATAAGTTTTATTTTATAGCTTTTTGAATATTCACATTCTGCTTTGGTACAAGTATTTTAATGATTACTTGATTGGATTATGTTGAGCAATTTATTGAAATCAACACGAGTATTTGAAACTGAAACCTTACCTTCATGAGATACACAACTCTTTTTTATTTAAAGACATCATTTTTAGCTATAAAAAAAGTTGAAATCACCATAAGTTGCCCTTATAATCTTTGCTGCACAATTTGAGAGGGAAAGAAACAGTTCTAATTTTTGTTAAATGAATTAAGGAGGAAAATAAGTAAGAAGATTATGGAGAGACATTAATTATATAACTTTGTAAAATTGTTGAAACGAAATATACAAAAAAATAAATCGTGGCTTATGTAATACAACTAGAAGTTAGTGGTGAGTGATAAATTGTTCACACTATAATTATGTTAAATAATTATCTAGTATATGGTTCCTACATAATTATCTAGTATATGTTTGCTTAGTTACATAATTTTTTTTATAAAGGTATTAACTCATTTAATATTTAATATAAATATTATATATTGGATTAATTACGAAAATTTCACCTTTTATTTTATTTATACCATTATCTTTTACAAGTTTTACAAATTTATAAAATCTCTCATTTTTACGCATCACATTAATGTATCTCACACATCACATTAATGTATTTCACGCATCACATTAATGTATCTCGCGTATCAAATTAATGTATCATGTATAAAATGTACATCGCACATCAGATTAGTGTATCTCGCGCATCATATTAGTGTATCTCACACATCAAATTTATGTATCCCGCACATCAAATTAGTGAATCATGTATAAAATGTACCTTGCACATCATATTAGTGTATCTCATATATTACACATTAGATTAATGTATCAACGCATATATTATTGTATTCATTTTGAGAGATTTTTGTAATTATAAACTTTTAAAGGATAAATTATAATTTTACCTCAAAATTTTATATTTTAAATTATGAAATATTTTAATGATAATTTTCATAAAAAATTAGTAAAATATAAAACTTAATTTCCTTTTTCTGAATTTTAGATCGAATGTCAAATCATGAGGGCAAACTTGTAAAGCTACGTCTGAAGTCCGAACGAACCGACTTCACATCTGTTGTTACTCGCCGGCGGTGGGTTTTTATACAGCTCGGCGCTTGCAAGCGGAAATCGACGTCGTCTATGGCTAAAACTTTGAGTAATCAATCCATGGAGAAAATATCAGATAGGCTTTCAGGGCTTGATAACCTCTATTTCCCACGCGCTCAGCAATCGTCCGCCTCCACTGCCTTCCAACGCAAATCCCTCCTTATCGACCTTCTCTCTCGCGACACTCCCCTTTTTCTAGGTACTCTACTAATTTTTTATTTTCTTTTCTCACGATTATATTGATCATATGTGTTTTATTTTTTATGTGGCTGATAATTGTGCAATTTAACCTTGACCTCGTGTTGTTGCCAGCAATTCTGCTATTAGATTCTGATGGAGCAACTTTTCCTCATCTAATCGATATGTTGGCCTTGAATTCATTGTTCCCCTCCCAAAAATATTCAGCACTTTCAATTACGAAAAGAGACAGCATTGCTTAGTTGATATACATTGAATCTCTTGTTAAGTTCTTATCTTCGGAGAAATCTTAGTATTTCGTGTTAGACCTCTTATCTTATTGATGCTTTATGTTTGTCAGAATTGTTGAGGCAAAAGCACCTTAGTCTAGTGGAACTTTAAGGCAAACTGCAATTACAGTCGTGAGCTTTAGCGAAGAAAGGTGCTAAGGAGCAGATAGAGTAAATGTGATGTGTGAAAACTGACTAAACACAAACATATGAGGTGATTCTCCCAGTAGGTGTACAGTTACTTTTATATCAAAATTTTTTTATGAGGTGATTCACGTCAGTTTAGCTGAAGAATAAAATGATTTTTAAGTACTCAATGACAAATTTTCAGATATAAATTTCTAAAATCTTATTACTTGATCAATTTAATATCCATTCTCACCGAAGGGTTGGTCTAGCAGCCAGTGAAGTGGGTTAAAACCATGAAAGATCATGAGCCAGACCCCAATAGAGACCAAAAGTATTAGGTGATTCTCTTAATTTGCCTAATGCTTTTACCCGATGCCTATGCTAACATGAGATAGCTGTTACTCATCACATGAGATAGATGGTACTCGGGGAAATAGTCGAGATGTGTGTAAGTTGATTCGGACATAACCAGTGTTGTGAATGGCGAGAGGCGAGGCGAGGCGAGCCCTTCTCGCTATTCCACATAGAGGCGAGGCGACCCATGGCGAGCTATTGGCGACAAAAATGGCGCCGCCTTTTTGATTTAAAATTTTTAAAAGATTTGACTTAACAATAGTACTCAAAATTTCTATTTTCAAAATTTGCTACTGCCCGACTC